GAATCTATTTTCCTTGTTCATAGAGTTAAGCTGAGACAGAGTAACTTTTTATCGTTTCGAAATACTTTGAATGACAAATAAATTGTGGTTTAAGAACTCAATATTTCTGAAACAAAACGCCATTTCTGCGTTTACATAGCAGCCACTTGTATTAACCATTGTGTAAACGTTGAACACAATTTTATCAAACTTTGATTTACTTACTCGTTTTATCGTCAGTTGTTCACTAGATTTAAGGAAAAATTAATTTATTTTTCATAGTTGAACAATGTTGTTGGTTGATTTGTAATTAAGCAAAAAGCTACGCAATGGACTATCTGTGTTCTGGTCGTCACGGGTATAGAAACCCGGTTTGTAATATTGTACGTTTGCAGACATACAACTGTGCCGCTAATTAAACGAACAAAACCCAATTTACAGTATAGTAGTTTTAGGAACCGCAGAAAAAAGAAAAATGTAAACAGTTAAAATTAAAAAAAATATAATTCAAATGTCCTAACGTTAAACCTCTAAGAATTTCTGTATGTTTATTTAGAGTTTACATGCTATAAGATGAAATATTAAGAGAACGTGTTTTGTGTGTGTTATGTTAGACAAAGAAGCAAACTTTTTGATTTTATTCTACATAAACAATTTATTTCCATTCATTCAAATACAAAACAAACACTTATATTAAAATTATTTTAAAAGTTTAAAATGAAATTAATTTATTATCTTTTGGTCAGTCTGAAGACAATACTTTGCTTCAGGTTTTTGAGAGTAGGTAAATCAGTTTTAGGTCACCACTAGAGGGCGAAAATGTTGGTAAATGTATGATAGTCCCTTTCCTTTTGTCCTAAGTTCTTTTTAGCAGAGAAACCTAGGTTAAAATAAAGACAAAATTAATCAATCCAGTTTCTTCTCTTTGTTTCCGACAAGTAAATTATTTTAGAAGCTACATTTATGTACGTTTATAGTTAAATTTAAATAACATGACATGATTTTATAGATTTATAAATAGCGGGATAATATTAATGATTTTTTTCTATGAAGTTGACTTCAACTAGTTAGGTGCAGTTATTACCTTACTTTACCACCATCCATAACCGCCTCCTTTGCCTCCTCCTCTGCCACCACCTCTTCCACCACCAAATCCTCCACCACCAAATCCACCTCCACCTTGTAGTTGTAATGGCACAGCAAGAAGTCCTAAAACAGCTGACCCTCCGCCTCCACCACCTCCATAACCTCCTCCGCCACCGCCATAACCACTCCCACCTTTTCCGCCACCAAATCCTCCACCTACTGCAACTGGTATAGCCTGTTTACATGTATGACAATAAACTGAAACTTACTGCGATGTTGTGCAATTTGTTGTGCAAACTAGACCTTGTTCGTTCACTTATAGTTTATGTATTAATTTTAAATTAAAACAACAAGCGGTAACTTATACCTGTATGGTAGCCCCTCCTCCACCACCCCCTCCATAGCCTCCTCCACCACCACCGTAACCGGTAGCTGAAGCTTTAAGTTCATCTTCTGTCTTCACTTCACCTCGAGTTTCACTGTGTACCAATGTTGTTGAGAGTAGAAGTGACAAAATAAACGACACCTAGTGGAAAAATTGAAAAAAATATCAACATTTGTTTGTTTGTTAGAATCGTTATGTAATCTAATGCATTGATAACTAATCTGACAGTAGCCACCCAGTGGCACAGCGGGATGTCTGCGAAATTACATCACTAGAAACCGGGTTTCCATACCCGTGGTGGACAGAGCACAGATAGCCCATTGTGTAGCTTTGTGCTTAATTTCAAATCAAACAAACAAACTTACAGTAAAGATGACAATGATAAAATCAATGCTGGCCTTAAACACGAGCAACACAAACTATCGGTTGAGGACTCGCACTGGAAAGTTAATGAGTATCTTTTGGGGGATAAGCTTTCTGCTAGCACGCAATTTGTAAGTAATTTAATTTTCTTGCTGCTTGGGCCATCGTGCTTGCTTAAAAAACATTAAAAACTGTAAAATATCCTGTAAATGTTTTGGTAGGATTCATGACTGATTCTTAACCTACATTAAAGATGTTTACCCTTTAAGAAGGAAAGAATGGGTTGTTATATCTCCATGAGCTCTACATATTATCTCAGTAAAATCTTATTAGCTCCGAAAGTAGTAAGGACATACTTATTGTCAAATTATCAAGATCTATGGTTTGTGCAACTGTAATGAAGTCAAGTAAATGGTTAATAGCACTGCAACATATTTTAATGTGTGTTTTTATAGTTTTAACATTTCCTTAGTTCAACGACGTACGAAATAACTTTAACCGTAGGTGAAACTTGAAATAACTGCATATTTGCTAATAAGACGTAGAGAACGACATTATATGAAAGCTATTTCTTTCAATTCACAGTTTTAATAAATAAATGTATACACTCCTTTAAAGGCCGTACACATGTTAATCAGGTTTTAACTCAGATTAAAGAGTAGCGTATGGTAATATAAAAGTAACTTTGCTGATTCCATGGTATACATGTAAGTGTTTGTTCAATAATATAATAATAAGAATAATGCAAAGGTCTTTCTCGTTCATATGCTTGTATGAACACTTTAGTTTTTGTTGTTGTTATTGTTGAGAAATCTTTTAAAAAAAATCTACTATCTAAAGAAGTATAACAAAAGGTTATTGGAGCCTGTCGACAATTACTTGAAATATTTAGATAAATCCTAACAGTTTATTCTTCAAAAAAAAGATATACACTAAACTGGTTCAGTAAACCCTGATAAGAAAAGAATATTTTTAAAATAAAACGAATACGAGGATTAAGCACTAACAAACAATAATAAGTCGGCAACAACAGTAAGAGTTAATGACGTGAGCTGTGTGAAACGTTTTCCCACGCGACCTGCGACAAACGTACTTAACGGCTCAGTTCATTCTGTGTAACTGAGAAAAAACGTGCACTGCAGCAGAGCATCGACATCGCTCTATCGAGTTTTTATTATTTCATTAATTAGTATTTCTCATGGAAAGAAGGAAGAACCTTCTCTGGTGGGTATATAAGGGGAAGAGTTGAAGAGCAAACCTCACAAGCGCATCTGTCTCCAGATTCACTACACAGACTTTGAAACTGAACACAAGATGCAGAGAAGGGTAAGTAGACAAATATACAAACTTAAACAATATCATTGAAAAGTAAAAGCGAAAATAAAAGCTTTTCAAAACAAACACTTTTTTTCAAAGATACCCATAAAACTAATGGTATTTGTTATAGTTAATAATTTTCCATCAGGACAGACGATTTTGAAATAACTATCCATTTGCCGAAGCAGACAGTGAAAAATATAATCATTCGAAATGTCTCTGCTGTGCCTGCCACAAGTATCGAAACCCATTTTTTAGCGGCGTCAGCCCTCAGACTTACCGCTGAGCTACGAGAGAGGAGGGAATTATTCAAATATATATTTCCTACATTTGTCTCATATTTTGCCATAACCTCCAGTTAGGCGCTTGAAATAGAAACCTGCGTAGAATGCCAAGGTAAAACTTGTACAAAATACTCTTAGCTTTATTAAAGATAAAAACTGAGAAACATTTGTTTTTAACTTTCTCACATCATCTTTACACAAAAACTAAATCCGCTTTCATGATACCTGTCCCTAGGGCAGAGCGTGTTTGTCTCAAGATTTCATTTTAATTAGAAGTAGCAGGACAATAAACTTGTGATGTTTAATTGTGTAATCTCCATTACAAAATGAAAAATAAGGCAAATATTAACCTTAATGTTGTTTAACCAGACTGGTCACATAACTTTATGTAAAATTTACCATCAAATATCTGAACCTGTCTTATTAGACCAAGAATTATAACAGTCGCTCCATATCCTCTCGTTCGAAGGCAAAGAAACATCAGCTGCTGTAATAATAAAGTTAACTGATATTTAAGAAGGTAATGATAAATAAAACGACTGGAGAAAGAGGTAATATTAAAGAAAGCTAGATGCAAACCTGCAAAATAAAGATTGCTTGTTTCGGGGATGGGTTTCAAAGCTTGTGAACCGGACTTGAAACCGTGCGATACTATAAACTATTCCCCCACTTTAGACTGTGGATGCATTATAAGATTGACAGTCAATCTCTTAGGGAGAAGACAGTCAATCAGCAGCATCCCACTACCCACCATCCACGCGGGAGTGACTGTCACTCCAGAGCTTAAAGTGGGTTAAATTTTTTGTGGTATCGCACGGATTCAAACCAGCTCACCATTTCTTAAATCCAGAGCTTCATTACATGCCAACCCGTGCCCCAACGGGATGAAATTCTTTGACCTGTGCATCAGGTGCCAGCCACAACAGTATTACTAGGAAGATCGATACCTTTTATAGAAATTTGTAGTTCAACTCAAGAATTCTGGATTGAGCGAAACGCATTGTCGGAAATGGATATGACAAATATAGTGTGATTGGAAACTATTATTACAAACTCTTCTAACTCTTGAAAATCTATATGGAAATAGATTAAGAATGTAATGTTTAAGAAAATAATAGGCGTAATACTAATGTCTGTTGTTGATTGAAGTTATGATTTTGTGTATTTCACCAAAAAACTTACAGTTGTGAATATTTAGTAATACTGTTTTTCTTTATTTTAATTTTTTGGATTTAATGTAATATCATCATTAGAACTGTACTGTTATATCCGAATTGGAAAATAAGGAATCTCGAGAGACATTATATTACTTTAATAATTCATCATATAAACAGGGAAATGTCATTATTGGATAAGGTAAGAGTTTTATCTAAATTTTTAAATATCCCTCTAATCAAGTAAAGTAATACCCCTAGCTCTGATGAAGAAATAATAAAATGACAAAGTCATTATAAATATTAGAATAAAATGGAGGAAAGGCTCATAAATGTCTTCTCAAAACTAAAAAAGAAATAACTGATACACAGGCTAATCTCAATACAACTTAAAAACTTAGGAACTATATGTAAGGAATATGATGAGTTGAAACCCAGCTACACAAATTTTATTGAAGAAATCCACGTAGTAGAGAAAGATAATAGAATGTTTAAGAAGTGTGTACGTTCACTACAAAATGTCACACCAAACATGCTCGCCCTTTCAGCCGTGGGCCGTTATAATGTGACGATCAATCCCACTATTCGTTGGTTAAGGAGTAGCCCAAGAGTTGGCGGCGGGTGGTGATGACTAGCTGCCTTCCCTCTACTCGTACACTGCTAAATTAGGGACGGCTAGCGCAGATAGCCCTTGTGTAGCTTTGCGCGAAATTCAAAACAAACAAACAAACACTACAAAATTAGATCGATTCTACAACTAAAATAGTTGATGCCCTTGAATAGTATGGCAGGAAGGATTACTCTCCAGTGTTCCTATGATAAAAACTGAAAATATGAATGAGATGGCTATTAAATCTGATGTTACATTACAGTTGGAGGAAAGCAGTGATGTACCGCTGGCCTTTAACTAAATCTAAGCGAGTGCTTTTTGGTAAGTGTTTGCAGTTTAAAAAACAAAACCAGTATAAGTATATACGGACAACGTATAAAAAATTATGATTCGAACAGTGGAACAGTGGAACAGTAGATGATTTTGTTAAACTCAGTTTAAGACCAGCAGATAGTCCAATATGGATTTGCTCTGAAACAAAAACAAAACAATTCAAGACAAGGAAGCAAAAAAATTTGATATATTGATTATGTATCTGACGTATTAAATTGTTTAAAACAGTCATATTAGTAATTAAAGTGATATTTGCTATTAATTCAACTTAATAATAATTGAATATCAGTGTATTCAGTATACCAAAGCAATCGAAATTACATTGATTGTGCTAATTGTCACAATACTTTGTGCCTTGAAAAATGTTCTCTATAAATATTTGAACAATTTATTAAATATTCAAACCTAAATGATAACTCTTATTGTAGAAATGGCATGAATTGTATATTTCCAGTGATGGCTATGAATTAGTTGAAATCAACCTGTTTTACACAAAGTCTTGGTGTGACGTCAACAAGACAATAGAATTATGACCCAAGATTTAAGTTTTCGGACTTATTCAAGTACAAATACATCACTTGCTAGAGTAGTATAAACTAAGGGAGCTCAAGATATTTTAATCATTCATTTTAGCATAAAAAAGCTTTCAAAGATTTTAGTAAAACTGTAGAATTTTTTACAGACGTTTCTCTTTTACCTGGCATTAAAGCCATTTCTAAAACTAAGCTTGGGGATGATCTATATATAATATTGACTTACACATAATCTTTCCCTTACAAGTGCTGGTGGTGTTGGTATTATTGTTCATAAGGGTATAAAAGTTCCCCAAAGAAATAAATTTCTATTGTTTTATATAGCTGCGAATATCTGTGGACAGAAAAAGGATCCTTTAGCTAAAAAAGAATATAATAGTTATTAGACATCCTAACGAATACATAGAGTTTTCTGACACTGAAATACAACATATAATATATTCAAAATCTTTGAACGTAACGTATAACATATGTATAACATTAATATTGATTCATTAAAACATGAAATACATCAATATACCAGAAATTACATGAATACAATATTTGTGAATGGATGTTTACTTCTTATAACAAACTCAACTAGGACCACATTGAAATCACAGACTTTAATTTATTATTTGTACACTGTTTTTACCCAAATAATTCCTGTACTTGTTATGTATGATGCATCAGATTATTTACCTACATTTATATTAGTAAATGCAGTTAATATAAAGAAAATGTAATAGAATATAAATTGAGATATATTAAAATATCAGTTGGGAATTTTCAGAAAGGATTTCTCAATAGTTTGTCTTAAAGTGAAGTCATTCTCTTATTGTAGATGAACAATTAACTATCCTTAATAATATTTAGAATGTTTCGAAAATCAAGCAAGTACAATGTAAAGTATTATAACCAAAGCAAAAAAGAGCTATCTGTGTTTTACACACCACAGGTATCGAAACCTCAATTTTAACGCTTAATTACTGGGGCTTGAGGGGAAAAAATGAGAAAGAATTGAAGTTTTGTTATACATATCTGTCTGGAAGTGAAACATATCTTAAATCATGTTGTGTGTGTTCGTGCATGTATTAGTTTGTTCACAGATTCTCTCACTGTCTTGGAACTAGCAGGACCAAACTTGGTGGGCGACTCGGGATGGCCAGAGGGGAGTGTAATTATTTATAAGACATTCCGCTAAGAGGGGACTAAAATGAGCCTGAAAGATTAATTTGGATTTCAGAGGTTTCATGTTTGAAACTGTGCTTAAACCTCCACTCACAAACTAACGGCATCTAACACGTGTTCAGGTGACACGAGTGGGTATCTTAATAGTGTTCTATTTTGGATAATGACTCCCTTGAGTATCTATAGTACTCTATTAAATGCCTAAGGTGCCTTAAACGCGCAATCAAGGTCACTCAAGCATGATGGGATCTAGAGTAGGTTTTCATGGATGATGAACCCGAATCTGGCATCATAGTTTATGTGTAGGTCCTCCCTAAGGATCTCATTGGCGCCATGTTTGAAATTGTGTTCACAGCGCCTTTGAAAGAAAGAAGGGCCTAACTTGGCACACGTAGTCAGGCGATATGGTGTTCTAACGTGTTTTTTCGGCTATGAAACACACTTGGGACAGTTATAGAAGCAATTATGGATAATGGAGGAGCTTGATCGGTACTTTGGGCTTCTGGAAATCATATTCCTCATGCGGATTAGCTAAAGTTTATGGACTTACAATACTAAAATTCGAGGTTGGATTCCTAGCGGTTGACAGAGAGTAAATAGCCCATTTTGAAATTTTGTGTTAAAACAACAACAATAAGAATTGTGAATCATGGGGAGGCCTTTGAACTCCGCAGCGGAGCACGAGTATTTTATGCTAGTTATAATAAATCAGTGAATTATTAAGAACAAAATATAAAATTATTATTATAAGTGGGTTCTTAAATTTTACAGTAATTTTACAGGGATGTTTTTCTTTCTTTTTTAAGCTATCTCGTGATGTTGTTTGCTTCTTATGTATATGAAGTTAATTTCATTTTAAATAAGGGATTGTAGTTCCTTTAGATATAACATCTCCCAGTTAGGTATATATACTTTTACATACAAATTTTTTTGTATCAAGTCCATATTAAGCATTAGGAATGTATTTCAAACACACTAAAATGTGAAGTGAAAAGTATAGGCAATTTAACTTCAAGGTTGTCAATTCAAATTTTCAAAAATATTTTAACCTCCTCGCTCTTGGATTTATACTGTATAAAATGGTTAATCTAACACATCTTATGTGTTTGTTAATTTTTTCAATTGTCACAAGATTTATAGAGCGATTAATAACATTTTTATGATAGTTCAGAAAACAAATAAAGAACCAAAACTTAGACCACCACAAAATGCTAAGCTCGACTAATCGAATTGATAGGTTTGTAACATGTTGTTTTATGAACCACAAACAGAACAAAGGATGATAAAAACAGAACATAAAACAAGCCACTGAATCGACATGGAGACATTCTTAGTAGTTGTATGTTATGTTTATTTAGAGTGTACATAAACGGAGATGAAGTATTAAGAATACCATGTGCATTTCATGATATGCAAAAAGGAGACTTTCAATCGGCTTTATTCTATACAAACAATTTATTATATTTTTCTCACAAACAATACATACACGTATTTTGAAAATTCTCGGAAAGGGTGGTGGAGGAGGAGGCAAAGGAGGTGGTTATAAATGGTGGGACTAAGGTAAGGTAATAACTGCACTGAGTATAGAAGTCAAATTCACACATACTTGTATGTTATCCATATACATATAACTCCATAAGTCTAAATTAAGGTAAAAACATACTTAAATTTACCATATTAAGACTAGCAGTATATCTTACTTGCCATGTATAAGAAATAAAGGTATCTATGTTTATTTTTTGACTTTATTTTATCATAGTTTTCTTTGCTACATGGAACTTTTGACCAAGTGCAAGGTGGTACATACGGAAGGACATCATTCATATATCAACAGCCTTTACATCTCTAGTGACTTAAAACTTATTTACTTATTATGAAAACCCTGAAGCAAAGTTCTGTCCTCAGACTGACCAAAGGCAAATCAATTAGCTTCATTTCCACCAAATCCTCCTCCACCAAATCCCCCTCCACCAAATCCTCCTCCACCAAATCCTCCTCCACCTTGTAGTTGCAGTGGCACAGCAAGAATTCCAAGAGCAACTGCTCCTCCACCTCCACCGCCATATCCCCCTCCGCCACCACCGCCATATCCGCCTCCACCGCCATAACCCCCTCCACCACCTCCACCTTTTCCACCACCGAATCCTCCACCTACTGCAACTGGTATAGCCTATACATATAAGTATATATATATATATATAGCTATTGCGGTGACTTACAATTTCTTGTATTTAGGAGCTAAACACACTATTCTTTGGAAGTTAGATTTACACAATTAGATTTTTACATATGTTTAAGACATAAAATTTAATAAAATCAAATAATTGTTTAGTAGATAATAGACTGAAAATGTTTTACGAAAAGAGAAAATTACTATGAATATTCAACATTTACTATCACTAAACACCATAAGTAATCAGGTTTCATAGAAAACTGGGTATGATAAATCTTGAAAACATGTTTTTGCCAACAGTGTGGTATATATTGTAAACTGCGCAGTTTAGTGCACAGTGATGCCATTTCACCTCAGTATAGAATATGATCTTTGTTAATAGTAGAGTAAGTTGAGAAAATTTTCTAGATAATTGAGTGATGATGAATTATAAATAACTTAGGTAAATAATTCTGAAGTTGAAAAAGCCAATGAACGTAGGACAAGCTGGCTTACACAACACGATTTGCTGTTCACTTATAGTTTACGTATGAGTTGAAATGAAAGCAACAAATAGTAGTTTATACCTGTATACTAACACCTCCACCTCCACCTATTCCTCCGCCTCCAAAGCCTCCTCCTCCACCACCGTAACCAGTAGCTTCACTTTTCAAATCGTCATCTTTATTCACTTCTTTCTGACTTTCACAATGTACCCACGTTGTTGATAGTAGCAGAGACAAAATACAAACTACCTGGTGGGAAAATGCTTGGATAATTATCACTATTTTCTATGAAACACACTAAGCTGTGTGATATATGATAATTAATCTGGACAGTAGCGATGATTGTGGTGAATTAGGAATAACGACATTTGTTACCAATTGTCCCGAATATAATGTTCTAAGTGAAGAAACTCTTAATGAATTGATAAGGTATTATTGAAGTCAGTTTAATAAAGTTAATATTACATATAATTCTAACCATCTCATGTAAATGGTTAATGGTACTGTAACAAACCATATCTTTTTTATTTTCTCTTAATTACGAACTATATAGAACAGCAAATAAAGATATAAATAACCAGTTTCTTCCTAATTAGAAGATGGAAACAGCATTACACGAAAATAGTTCAGTTAATTCACGAAAAACATAAACTTCTCCTATAGTCTCGGAGCTCGCCATGAAATCAATATGGTTACAATGTGTTATAGTTAATTTTATATTATCATACACTATTCGTTCATCTGATTTAAACCTGATTATACTGTATGATATTCTACTTACCC